CCAGATGACCTACCGCAGGGCGAGATGCCACCAGTGGTGCTGCACGCCCATGTGCAGCAGCATCGTCCGCACAGCCTCGACGACCGTACGCATCTCCCGCTCTGCCATGCCGTTCTGCTGCGGAGTGTATGGGCAGGTCAGGTCGTGGACGATGCCTTTGCCGTTGACGAAGTTGGTGAAGTCTTTCTCAAGGAACTCGCCTCCGCGGTCGGAGCGGAGCATCATCACCGACTTCTTGGTTTGCCTCTCCACGACCAGCAGCCACTGCTCGAACACGTGCAGGATGTCGCTTTTCTTGGCGACCGACTTCACCCACACGTAGCGAGTCTTTTGGTCCTTCAGCAAAAGGAAGTAGTAGCTGCCATCCTTGGCGGCCACCCGAAACGGCCCGCACAGGTCGATGTGCACGACGTCCAAAGCTTCTTTCGCATCCGAACCTTTGTCGGGGAAGGTGTGCCGCGCAAGTTTGCTGCCTACGCAGGAGACACACGGCAAATCGGTCCCCGTCGAAGGCGTGATGTCCAGGCCGGTGGCGACATTGTGCTTCGCCAAGGTCTTGATGGTGTCAATGCCAACGTGCGCAAGCCTTGCGTGCCACCTATGCGGCGTCGACTTCGTTGCCGATGCGATCGTCCGCAGAGCCACCACCTCTGTCGACTTCGACGACAAATTTGTCGAGCAGGGGCGGAGGTTGGTGCAGAGGACGCGGCCAGTGTAGCGTGCTCAACCGAGTACCTCGCCGGTCGCATTGACGAGCGTCATCTCGTCGCCGTCGTCCTGAAGCTGCACAGCGTTCTCCTTCAGCTGACCGGCTGACAGCAGGTTCGCCTGCACGCCCGGGACGTAGAGCACATCAAGGATGAGGACCTGCTTCCCGGCCTCCCCTTGCAGAGCGACGGTGCCTCGGCCCTCGACGGTCTGCAGAGCCCCGTTGAAGCCACGCACATGCTTCACATTGCCGCTCGGCCCCATGTCGACGAAGGCCTCGTTCGTTCCCATGAGGTGGTGTGAGCAACCGCTGTCGAGCAGAACCACCATCGGATTCGCCTGCACAGCTGCTGCGACCGCTTTGAAGTCTTCGCCGGCCTCTAGCGCTAGCGAAACAGTCTGCTCCACCATGCTGACCATTGAGCACGAAGCCTCTCCGCCACCTTGTCCCTTGCCGCTGGAGGAGTCGACCTCCTTCGTCGACGACGTCTTCTTCGGCGTCTGCTTCCCCTTGCGCGACTTCTCATCCCGACTTTGACGACCGTTGGCCGACCTTCCGCGGCCTCCCTTGTGGTCATCGTCGTCAGACTCCTCTTGGTCGGGGCAGTCATAGGAGAGGTGGTCGGAGCTACCGCAGATCCAGCACTCCCGCCGTCGACCACCTTTGCCACGGCCACTGTCACGGGCTGATTTCGCCCAGTGCGTCCTTCGCCGGGTTCCCACCTCCGCTACCACCTCCGCCAGACTTTCCGTGCTGCCCCTGCTGACGATTCTGCTTCGTCGGTGCAGCGTAACTCGCCTGCGGAAGGAGCTCCGTGGGCTGCTCTGCCTTCTGCGTAGCCTCGTCTTGAAGGATGTAGCTGGTGATGGAGTTCTCGTCGAGGGACTCACGCGTGTCGGGCACCATCATCATCTGCTTCATGAGGTTGTAGCTACGCGGCAGGCCCTTGACGACGTGGGTGATGTAGGACGCCGTAGAGTATTCGGCGCCCGCCATCCGCATCTCAGCCAGGATCCGTCGAGCACGGTTGCAGTAGTCCGTCGCCGACTCCTGCTCGCCCATCCGAATGTGTGTCATCTTCTCCTCCAGCTGTCCGATGTACAGGTCGTCCTTCGCCTGGTACGTCGACAGGATGAAGTGCCATGCCTGGTGACCAGCATCGAGTCGCTCTCGACAGCTCCTGAGCGCTAGCTGCACCACCGGCGAGCAACACCTCGAGATGACCATGAAGGTGAGCAAGTGAGCAGCACGAAACTCCCCACGCAGCTCGACATCGTCCTCGTGTGAAATTGGCACAGTACCGTCGGCAAAGCCCTTCAGCCCGGCGACCTCAAGCTGTGGTTCTATCGACTCCCTCCAGGTGATGAGGCCTCGTCGACCTTGCAGCGGTGCTACAGTAATCTTGTCTGGCGAAAACATGAAGTAGCCATACGTCAGGGCGATCTCGCCCGCCGTCACGTGCGTCGTCGCCGAAGGACTTCCACTGCTTAGCTGTGGTGAGTTGCCTGCAGCCGCCGTCGACCGCTGCACTCGCGCTTGACTCGCACCGACACCACCGTTGATGGACCTGAGGTCTCCGATCTGCCTCGTGTCCGCTCTGCCACTGACTCGATCACCTCCGTCGACCACCTCGTCGACGCCGCCGTCGTTACGCACCGGTCGAGGAGAGGCGGACGCACCATCCGCTCCAGGTTGGGGAGGGTGTTCCACTGCCCACTTCGCACGGATCCCAAAGAGAACCACCTCCAAGGGGAGCACAGTCCCGAACTCGCCTTCTCCATGGCGTCTCGTCGCATCAGCCAGACGTGCTTCTAAAGTATCCTCTACCCCGCCAGCCTCTGCCAGGGTAGGCACCATAGTCTGCACGGGCTGCCGGCCTACGAACGACTTAGGTGAGTGATAAGTCAGTTCCTATTTGAATGTATCCTTGCGGGGCCGTCCACGCTCACCGCACCATGAGGAGATAAACTCTACAACGGTGGGAGCTAGACTACAGGGTGGCAGTGGTTGTAGGAGTGATTGTAGCTCTCTCTGTGTTCTCTGGGACTTTTGTTTTCACAGGGCAAAAGAGCAAGAGTTTCACTATGAAAGTTGAGAATAATAGAGTTCAGAATTGAACAAGCAATGAAAAAGATTGACTACATCACATCCAAGGATTGCTATTGCTCAGGCAGGTCGATCGCCAGCACGACAAAGTCGTCGACCTACCAACGTAGCATGTCTGCGGCCCGCTAACGCAACTTGTGTGCGACTTGCCAACGCTGCAGAATGGCGGCCTGCCAACGCTGCACCCGCGCGGCTTGCCAACGCAGCATCCGCGCGGCTTGCCAACATTGCATCCGCAGGTGATTGTAAGCGCATGTGCAAGCACCTACTTTGCAGGTGCTTGTAGACAGTTGTGCACGTCGTGCACTATCAAGTACATGGCGTAGGTTGTCAGCCACATGCCAACGGTTGCACCTGACGAGCCACGTCGACCACGTGCTGCCACGTCGGTCGACTTCGCCACAGCAGCCTTGATGACGTTCGCACACCTTCGCGCACCTCGTCGAGCAGGTAACTTGGTCAACCAGGAAAGGTTCCTGGCAACTCTGCAGGATGATGACCTTCGTCATCACCAGTTGACGACCTTCGTCGTCGCGGGTCGTCGCGGGACGATGACGGCGTAGTCGCGACGTCGACGGTCGCTCGTTGGAAGTCGCTCCCCGCGAAGGCTCTTGATACCAAGGATTAGGTCCGCTGGCCTAAGTCCGCTAAAGAATTAGAAGGGTCGACTAAGTCGAGGATAAACGCGGCGGAAGACTTTGGCGAAAGAGAGTGTTGGCGAAATAGGCGAAGAAGTAACTGAGTAATTGAAGAAGAGTTGAATGAGAATTGGTTGATATGAGGGAATACAAGCAAGGTTTATATAGCATGCAAGAAGGAAAGTTAGAAAGTAGAATGTGAGACTTGTAATTGGAAGGCAAGAAAGCTAGAGTGCCACGTGGCACTTGGGAATCTTGGAAATCTTGGAGGAGTTGGATAAAGATAGGGTTGGGATAAGGTTGGGGGCACTGCTTAGGGTAAACCACCCTTGAACAGTAAAGTACCCCGTAACACTACCCCCCTCCCAAGGAGGCGACGTCCGCGGCGCCTGCAGACTGAAGGTACGCTTGGAGGCAAGCGTTGTCGGGAGACAGCGAGGACAACGGAACCCAGCTGTCGTCGGCTGCATCGTAACCACGCCAACGAACCAAGAAGTCGATGAAAGAGACACCCCCCTGGAGACGGCGACGGTGCCTGAGGATGCGCTGGATCTGGTAGTCGAGCTCGTCGATGCCAACAGCTACCGGCAGTGGAGTGCGATCACGGCCCGAGAAGGTGGCGTTGGGATCGGTGTAAGGCCGAAGGAGAGACACGTGGAATGATGGGTGCATGCGGAAATGAGCGGGAAGGCGAAGGCGGTATGCGACTGGACCAAGTGCGCGCTCAATGACAAATGGACCAATGAAGCGTGGGCGAAGCTTGCTGTCCTGTGGCAGTCGGAGGTTGCGGCTGTCCAAAAGAACACGGTCGCCAACTGCGAACGACACCTCACGACGACTGCGGTTGGTGGTGCGTGCCATGCGTGCATTTGCAAGCTCAAGGTGCTTCCTCACGTGGTCGTGAATGAAGGTGAGGTGCTGGTGGAAGTTATCAGCACGTGGGACTGTGGGTGTGAGATCGACACGAGTGGGGACATTGGGGTGCTGACCGTACAGTGCGAAGAACGGTCAGATGCCTGTGGCGGAGTGGTGGGTGTTGTTGTAGGCGAACTCTGCCATGCTCAGCTTCTTGTTCCTTGCTGCTGCGTCGTGCATCGTGATGCTGCGAAGGATCTGCTCCAAGGTCTGGTTCACGCGCTCAGTCTGTCCGTCTGTCTCTGGATGGTACGCAGACGACATGGCTAAGCGAGTCCCAAACAGTGCGAAAAGCTGCTTCCAGAATTTCGTGGTGAATCTAGGGTCGCGGTCGGAAATGATGGAATCTGGAACCCCGTGCAGTCGGACTACGTTATCTACGAACAGCGTCGCGGCTTCCTCTGCTGTGACCATGCCGTGTGTGGGGATGAAGTGCGCTGCTCGAGAGAACTTGTCGACTACAACGAAGATGGCGTCGTGACCCCTAACTGTGCGCGGTAATGCCATGATGAAATCCATGGTAACTACCTGCCAAGGACGGTTGGGCGGTGGAATCGGCTGCAAAAGTCCTGCCTTGCGCTGGCGAGAGGACTTCGTACGCTGACACGTGTCGCACGAGCGAATGTAATCCTCTACGTCTGCTGCAAGCCCTGGCCAGTAGTACGTGCGACTAAGCGTCTTAACCGTCTTATCTGCTCCAAAGTGTCCTGCACTAACAACATCGTGTGCCTCGGAAAGAAGAAGCTGTCGAAGAGGGCGGTAGGCTGGAACCCAAATCCGTGCTGTACCCTTCCGTATGTAGACACTACCCTGCACCTCTGCCCCTGCGGGCGGATTTGCTGTGAAGTCGGGATCTACTGTGTAACCGTGCTCGAAGAGTGCTGTGAGAAGTGGATGGCCGGCAGTGACTGTGAGACTAGCGAGCTGGCAACTAGGGCGAGTGAGCGGATCTGCTGGGTTGCGCACGCCTGGCTTGTACTCTATCCTGTAATGAAAGCTCCCCTCCATGAACTCCATCCATCTAGCCTGGCGACGACTCAGCTGCGGTTGCGACTTGAGAAAGCGAAGCGAGCAGTGGTCCGTGCGTATAACACTGTCTGCCCCCTCTAGGTGCCACCTCCACACCTTATACGCATGAATGATCGCGAGCGCCTCCTTGTCATGCATGGGATAATTCAACTCCGCTCCCCTAAGCTTACGCGACTCGTACGCGATCGGCTGCAACCCGCGTCCCTGGTCCTGAAGAAGTACTGCTCCTATGGCCTGATCTGAAGCGTCGGTCACTACAACGTACGGGCGAGTGGGATCAGGGTACGACAGTGTCGGTGAAGACGTGAGCGACTGCTTCATCTGCTCGAACGCCTGCTGCTGCGCTGGACCCCAAACGTACTCTACGCCTTTCCGAAGTAGGTCGGTGAGTTGACTAGCGATTGATGCGTAACCTTGAACGAAACGGCGGTAATAATTGGTGAATGTGAGGAAGCTCTGCAACTCCTTGACTGAGGTCGGTGCTACCCAATCCTGTACTGCTGCGATCTTCTTCGGGTCGGTCCTAACGCCACTAGCGGATACGACGTGTCCTAGGAACTCGACCTCGGGGAGAAAGAACTCGCACTTCGACTGCTTCGCGTACAGCTTCTCCCTCCGCAAGACCTCAAAGACCCTCTGCAAGTGCTGCACGTGCTCCTCTTTCGACTTGGAAAAGATGAGTATGTCGTCTAGGTAAACGACAACGAACGAACCTAGGAACTCGGAGAGGACGGTGTTCATAAGCGTCTGGAACGTCGCTGGGGCGTTGGTCAGTCCGAACGGTAGAACCCTAAACTCGTACAACCCCTGCTTCGTACGAAACGCCGTCTTTTACTGGTCCTCTGGAACTACGCGAATCTGGTGGTAACCCGAACGAAGGTCGATCTTAGAAAAGACTCTAGCGCCCTGCACTGCATCTAGAAGATCCTCTACTCTCGGCACCGGGAATCTGTTCTTGACGGTGGCGGCGTTCAGTGCGCGGTAGTCTATGCACATCCGTAACCCTCCGTCTTTCTTAGGCGCGAAAAGGATCGGTGCGGCCCAAGGCGATCTAGATGGCTGTATGAACCCCTGTGCGAGAAAGTGACTAACCTCCCGCGTCATCTCCTCTGTCTCTGCTGGACTCAACCTCCACTGCGGCTTCGCTACTGGCCTGCTCCCCGGCTCCAACTCTATTCGATGGTCGACTGCCCGGCTAGGAGGTAACCCTTGGGGCAACTCGTCAGGGAAGACGACTGCAAACTCTGCTAACAGTGCACTCACCTTAGCAGGAAGAGTCGCCTTCTCACCCACTGCTGCGCTCCCTCCTTTCCCCTCCTCAGCTTCAACCTCCTCAAGGAAAACCGCGAAGATCCGTGCTGCGCGCTTCACCATATGTCGCACACGAACAGCATTGATTATAGCTGTGGGTGATATGGCCCCATCGCTCCACTGTGGCAGCTCCCGGAACTCGCCATCTACCTTGACGCTGCAGCTTCCCTGAGCCCAATCGAACTGAGTACTAACCGTCCGTAGCCAATCTCTCCCGAAGATGAAATCGTAACCGTCCAGCGTCGCAGAGTCGAAGTCACGCCTAACTGTGATCGGTCCTAGCACTACGCGCAACTTGCGAATGACTGGTCCTATGTGGAGAGGCGTCCCATCTATCATACGTGCGTCCTTGAAGTTGACTGAGGAATCTGCTTCAAGTTGGAGATGGCTAACTAATGAAGACGAAACGAACGAGTGGCTAGCTCCGCTATCGACGAGAATCTTAACAAGAACTTTGCGAAGCTTCCCTAGAAGCACGACTGGTCGGTCAACAGTGTCTACCTCGTTCTCCGTAGATGATTGCTGCAAGGCCGTCCTCTCTACGTTGATAGACGCGGCGGGTACGGGAACCTCCACGCCAGCTAGCGACCCGCTATCTACTGGCGGTTTCCGTTTCCCTGCTGCCGCTCCTTGAACTGTAGGCAGTCCCGCTTCATGTGACCCGGCTTTTTGCAGTAGTGACAGTTCCCCCTAAAACCGTTACGCTGTGAGCCGTCACTGTTAACTGCACCAATCTCCATGGGCGATGGTCCGTCCCTCGATCGAGCATCGTTGATCGGTCTGTTGTATCCCCTATCGCGATCGTCACGACCCCGTCGGCTTCGTACTGCGTCGACGCGTTCTGCTGCTGCGACAACTGACTCGAAGGTGGACAACCCGTGAATCGCAATAATCTCCGCTATGTCCGGCTTCAACCCTTCGAGGTAGCGATCGCGCATCTCTGCTTCCGTGATGTCGTCTATTTCGTTGCAGATGCTCAAGAACCATCGTGTGTACTCCTGGACGTTGCCTATCTGTCGGAAATGACGCAGACGCTTCCTAGCAGCTTCGGAGGCGTTCACCAAATCGAACCTACTTTTCAGCGCCGCTTCAAATCCTTCCCATGTGGTCGGAACCGTGGTAACACCCAAAGCTAGACTCCCTAAGCTCGAAGTTGCAGCTGCATGCCCCACGCCCTGTTGATGCCCGTCTAACTGAGCCCTCCGTACAGCAGTCTGCGTAAGTTGGCGCCACCACTCCAAGGCCGGGCCCCTCAGCAGCGTTACGGCGTACTCGATCCGCTGCTGCGCGTCCGCCTCTTGCACCCCGCTCGCGGCGAAGTAGTTGTTGAGCATGAAGAGCCACGTCCGCACGTTCGCGTCGCGTTGACTTGGGTCGAACGACTCCGGTTTCTGCGGCTTGAGTGCGCTTCCACGTTCTGGCAGCGCTTCCGCGCCAGTCGACGTGGTGGGTGCAGGAGTTGGTGCGGCAAGGCCATGGGGGTTAGAAGCCAAATTGCGAAGCTGTTGCATTTTGGCTCGTACCTGACGATTTTCCAGTGTCAACTCTTCGAGTTGACGCATGAGCTCGGCAAGCGTGTTGCCCATGTCGTGGGGGAAAGCGTTCATGGATTCGTCCATGTTCGCTCGACGACTCCAAGTCTGCAAGTCGACACTGCGGGACGATGACGGCGTAGTCTCGTCGTCGACGGTCGCTCGTTGGAAGTCGCTCCCCGCGAAGGCTCTTGATACCAAGTATTAGGGCGTGTTACATTTTCTCACTTCCACGGTCCGTACCATGGGCCGTCCGGACAATGTGTATGGTAACCATTTTCGTTGAGCATCGCGAAACAATTTGCTCGTCACCATGCGACGTCGCAGCTGTACGTACCACCAATGAAACATTTAGCAATTTTCGGTGCACACAACCGTCCGAACGACTCCCGTCCGTCTGCCAGACAGAGCATCCAAACCGTTATTTGATTGGCCAACGAGGATTTGAAACGAAAAACATTCCTCCAATCAGAAGCCGCGCAAGGCGGATTTCCCTTGAGATCACCTCAGTAACAAGTATCCAGTGTTATTTTGAAACTCTGTTTCCAATTTCGAGAAAGAAAAATGTTCCAGATTCCCCGCCCGGACTAGCCTCCGTCCGGGCGGGAGGCCCAAACCGTCCGTACGCTTATTTTGGACGGTTTGCGGACCATTGTCTGGACGGAACGTCTAAAAATAAAATGTAACACGCCCTTAGGTCCGCTGGCCTAAGTCCGCTAAAGAATTAGCGGGGTCGACTAAGTCGAGGATAAACGCGGCGGAAGACTTTGGCGAAAGAGAGTGTTGGCGAAATAGGCGAAGAAGTAACTGAGTAATTGAAGAAGAGTTGAATGAGAATTGGTTGATATGAGGGAATACAAGCAAGGTTTATATAGCATGCAAGAAGGAAAGTGTCAAACATATATGCTGCCCATATGGGGTACAACCCAGATTAGGGTTTCCTACTTGTACCCATCATGCTGCTAGTTCATTCATTCCTGCCTGTAGTTTCTGACATGGTATCAGAGCAGTAGGTCCGTAGGACCGTTTTTTTCGGGCCCACCTACCGTTGTGGTTACTGAGCTGCCCCACGTGTTGCCTGCGCTGCGCCGCCCGCGCGCGCCTTGCCGTGCCTGCGCTGCGCTGCCCGCGCGCGTCTTGCCTTGCCTGCGCTGCGCTGCCCGCGCGCGCCTTGCCTTGCCTGCACCTTGCCTTGCCTTGCCTGCGCCGCGCCTTGCCTTGCCTGCGCCTTGCCTTGCCTTGCCTGCGCTGCGCCGCTCGCACGCACGCCCTGCCCTGCCCCGCGTTGCGCTGCCCCGCGCACGCTCTGCTCTGCCTGGCGTCGCGCGCCCCTGCAGCCCGTCGCGTCGCCCGTCTGCCCTGCCTCTGCCTGTCGCGTCGCCAGTACGGACTGTCCCAGCCCGTCGCGTCGCCCGTACGGGCTGATTGCCCGTCGCGTCGCCCGTACGGGCTGTCCCAGCCCGTCGCGTCGCCCGTACGGGCTGCCTGCCCGTCGCGTCGCCTGTACGGGCTGTCCCAGCCCGTCGCGTCGCCCGTACGGGCTGCCTGCCCGTCGCGTCGCCCGTCCGCCTTGCAGCCCGCGCGTCGCGCCTCTGCTGCCCCGCGCGTCGCGCCCTACGGCAGCCCGCGCGCCGCGCTCTGCAGCCCCGCGCGTCGCGCTCTGCTGCAGCCCGCGCGTCGCGCCCTGCTGCCCTGCACGAAGCGCGCCCTGCTGCTCGCGCCGCCCAGGCCGAGCCGAGCCGCCCTACCCGACCCGATCCGCCCTCCTGCTCGTGCTACTACTGCTGCTGGTGGAGGTGCTGCTAGGAGTGCAAGAGGTGCTGCAGCCTAGCCTCACCGGGCCGCTCTACTGCTCTTACTGCTGTTGCTGCTGCTCGTGCTGCTGTCTTCCCTCCGTACCGCCCTCCTCCTCGCACGCCTCCTTGCTTACCCGCTATGACTTCCCTTCGTAGTAGCGGTGGGAGTGGTGGCGGCGGCGGTGGCGGCAGTGGGAGTGGTGGCGGCGACCATAGTTGCAGTCGCGGTGGAGCTGTTCAGTGCGGAGTTTCTGGCGGTGGCGAGATCCAGCTGCAGCGGCGTCCGAGCGAGACCCTTCCACCCCAGCAGCTTCATGCGTGGTACGCTCAGCGTTGTGCGTCTCGGAGAGGTGGCGGCGGCCGTAGTAGCAGTCGTGGTGGAGCTGGTCAGTGCGGAGTCTCTGGCGGTGGCCAGATGCAGCTGCAGCGGCGCCCGCGCGAGACCCTTACGCCCCGGCAGCTGCATGAGTGGTACGCTCAGAGTTGGGGGTGTAGGACTACTGCTCGCTGCCCGTACGTTATTCGCACAGGTGATCGAGCTGGTCAGACTTGCGGGACAGTTAGTCACACAGAGTCCCGCTGCTTCTCCCGTCTGAGCGACGCTTGGCGAGCACGGTTTGGCGACGAGACTGAGCTACCCCTCTGGCTAGAGCTGCTTCAGGACGGAGTAGATATATTTGCCTTAGACTATGACACTATCCTTACTGCCATGTATGTTTTGACTGGTACTTCTCAGGGTGACTGTTACCTGTGTGTGCCCCCTGACCCTGGTATAGCGGCTGCTGCTCTAGGTGCTAGTGAGTCTGCTCTCTCTGGTACTGCACCTGCTGAGGCCTTGCACACCTTTACACTTGACTCTGGTGCTTCCCGCTGTTTCTTTCGCGACAGTACCACGGTCACACCCCTCCCTGCACCTGTCCCTGTCTCACTGGCTGACCCCTCTGGGGGCCCAGTGCTTGCACGGTCTACCACTGTGCTTCCGTGCCCGGCGGTCCCGTCTGGTGAGCTGTCTGGTCTCCACCTCCCCTCGTTCTCTACGAACTTGGTGAGCACCGCCGTCCTTCAGGATCACTGGGTTGACACCTTTACTCCTGGAGGACAGCGGGTGACACACTGCACGTGCTCTCGGACCGGCCGCCACCTGGCCACGTTCACACGTGCGCCTGGGTCCAGTCTGTACACCCTCACCACTGTGTCGCGTCACGCCACTTTGTCTCCTCAGCTGTACGCGTCTGCTCAGGTAGCTACCCAGTGTGAGTGTCGTCGCCTGTCGCACGACACTCTCCTGTGGCACCACCGCCTTGGTCACCCCTCCCTGCCTCGCCTTCATGGCATGCACATGGACGTGTGGGGCCCAGCCTGCGTCCAGGGACAGGGCCGTGAGCGGTACTTCCTGCTGGTTGTCGACGACTACACGCGTTACACCACGGTCTTCCCCTTGCAGCGCAAGGCGGATGTCCCTGCTGTCCTGATCCCCTGGATCCGCGCTGTTCGTCTCCAGCTCCGCGAGCGGTTTGAGCGGGACTTTCCTGTCTTGCGTCTGCACTCTGACAGAGGTGGTGAGTTCACCTGCGACCTCTTGCGAGAATTCTGTGAGGAGCACGGCATCACCCAGTCGTTCACGCTTTCGGCCTCTCCGCAGCAGAATGGGGTTGCTAAGCGCCGCATTGGCTTAGTCATGGAGGTCGCTCGTACCTCCATGATCCATGCGGCGGCTCCCCATTTTCTATGGCCGTTTGCGGTCCGGTACGCCGCGCATCAGCTCAACCTCTGGCCCCGTGTCTCCTTGCCGGAGACCTCGCCCACACTGCTGTGGACGGGGGAGGTTGGCGATGCGTCGCGTTTCCGGGTCTGGGGTGCTCGTGCCTTTGTCCGCGATCTCACCGCGGACAAGCTCTCTGCCCGCGCCATTCCCTGCGTCTTCCTTGGTTTTCCTCCTGACGCGCCTGGCTGGCAGTTTTACGACCCCGCCTCGCGCCATGTCTTTGCGTCTCAGGACGTCACTTTTGACGAGTCCGTCCCCTTTTACCGTCTCTTTCCCTACCGCACTGCCTCTCGCCCCCCCCCGCCGCTCTTTCTCGCTCCAGGTCCTTCCCAGGTAGACCCCCTCCCCGCGCCAGGTCCTGCTCCTTCAGGTGTTTCTCAGGTAGATCCTCCTGTGCCTGCGCCTGTTGAGGTCACTGGTGACTCAGGTCCTGCTGGGGGTAGTCCTGCTCGGGGTGCTGTCTCTGGGGGTGCTGAGCCTGGGGGTACGGAGCCCGAGCGAGAGGAGCCTGGGGGTGCGGAGTCTGGGGGTGCTGTGCCTGAGCGTGAGGAGCCTGGAGGTGCTGAGCCTGGGGGTGCCGAGTCTGAGGGTGCTGAGCCTGCGTGTGAGGGGCCTGAGGGTGCTGAGCCTGGAGGTACTGAGCCTGAGCGTGAGGAGCCTGGGGGTGCTGAGTCTGGGGGTGCGGCGCCTGAGGGTACTGCGACTGCTGGTGCGCGGTCTCCTTGGAGTGGCCGCCTTCGTCCACGTGTGCCTCTCACCTCACAGCAGCTGCACGAGTGGTACGGTCGCCGTCAGGGTCGCGCTGTTGGGGCTCGGGGCTCTACTGCTGGAGGTACTTCTGCTGACGTCACTGGAGCTGGGAGTGGTGCTGGTTCTTTGCCTGCTGGAGGTGCTGAGCCTGTGCATGCGGAGACTGGAGGTGCTGTGCCTGGGGTGCTGCGTCCGGGGGTGCTGAGCCTGAGAGTGCTGAGTCTAGGGGTGCGGCGCCTGCGGGTACTGAGACTGCTGGTGCGCGGTCTCCTTGGAGTAGCCGCCTTCGTCCGCGTGCGCCTCTCTCCCCGCAGCAGCTGCACGAGTGGTACACTCGCCGTCAGGGTCGCGCTGCTGGAGCTCGGGGCTCTACCGCTGGAGGTGTTTCTGCTGTCGTCGCTGGAGTTGGGAGTGGTGCTGTATCTACAGGAGGTGCTGGAGTCCCTGGTCCCGGAGGTGCTCGTACTGGAGGTACTGGAGCTGCTGGGGCTGGAGGTGCTGCGTCTAGGGGTGCTGCTGCTGGAGACACTGAGGCTGGAGACCCTAGGTCTGGATGTGTCGGTTCTGGGGGTGCTGCTTCTCGAGACACTGAGGCTGGAGACCCTAGGACTGGAGGTGCTGGTTCTGGGGGTGCTGCTGCTAATGGTGCTGGCGCTGGAGGTTCTGGA